ATATTGATATTAATACCGGTATTTCACACTACAACACAAGTGTGACACCGGAGAGGATCTCAGAACAATCCGACTTTGAATCCCTCTCGACGAATCTCATGTTTGTCTTTGTCTTCGGTCTTCACTTCGCCGATGAATGGTGTGTGAATGACATTGTTTGGACATGTACACATGGCGTGAGTGTATGCGTGCGCGTTTGTCTATTTGATCAGGCAGCCGACAGTTGAAGTGATCATTGATTTGCCTGATGACGGCGACATCCCAACTCGACGTCCAATTGCCGGATTGTTTCGAGTGTTGATCAGCCGAGGACAGTATGAATGATGAGTGGGTGCTGGAGGACGTCGACGGGCGACAGCGAGAAGGACGACAGTTCGCTGATACAATGCGATGTCGCGTGTTGAGACGCGGCACAATTGTGTCATCGAAAACAATGAAAGAACGCATACACAGGAATATCTACTAAACTGATAACGTTTGGATATTGAATACTATCAATAGGTATTCAAATGTTACAGAAATATTCATTTTAATTTTTTTTTGTTTTTTTGCCCCGTGACTAAAATCCGTGATTAAAGTACTTTAGTCACAGCCGTGTATAAAGTACAATTTTTGTGTTTTGAAATTTTGGAAAAGTAAAAGTAGAAAATCGTTATTAAAGTGACATTTAACGCACTTAATATTTAATGTTATATAAATGTTAAATACTATACTATATACACGCTGAAATGATTTATTATTTAATTATATTTCGTTGAACATGTGTTACGACATTTCGCATGTAATATACCCGATGAAAATGCGGTATGCGCAAGATATAACATCGAGGGTTGTTCTATTGATTTTGTGTCTTTGGCAATGTGCAAAAATCAGCAATTCGAGCGTTTATTGCGACTCGCCAGCGATGACAGGTTCATATTTATTTATATTGTTATATTCTTTGCTATTACACACGCCCAATTGCTTCATTATTTTTTAGTGCCTCGTATTGTTAGCAACGAATAAATTTTTAGCAATTTTTCTCTTATATTTCTCGAAAAAACGAAAGAAAAAAAAAAGAGGAAATTAATGCGTTCATCAGCAACATGGTATCAGAATAACGCAAGTGATGCAAGTGACAGCGTCGTATTCGTCTTGCTCCAGCCTGCAGCAGCTTTGCACCTCTGTGCAGCGGCGAATTGGATTTTACGTCGCCGGCGACTCAAAGCCATCGTCCTTGGTGGAGGCGCCTAATTGAAATGGAAATTACCATTCTACGGCGCGCGCGTACTACGTGCCTCGCAATTCGTTCGCGCGCCGTCGCAATGTATTGTTCTCATAAACATTCTGATGTGCATAATAAATAAAGCGAAATGTTTGCAGCGCTTGCAAACCTTCAGACGCGTATTATTCACAAGTGACACGAATAATCCTCATATTCGATATTTGATGGCGAAGCTTATTTGTACAAAGTATATTTGGTTGCATAAATCTAAGCTATGCTACACTATAAATTACAAATTTCTGAAATACCGGTATTTTTATTAAAAACCGGTATTTATACCAAAATACCGGTATTTATTTAAATCAAAAAATAAATGACTTAAAAACAAAATATTCGTAATTACTTATTTTTATAAATACCGGTATACCGGTATATTTTTATTCAAAACCGGTATTTATACCAAAATACCGGTATTTTTTAATATAAAAACGAATGACTTAAACATTTCAAATTCGTAATTAATTAATTTTATAAATACCGGTATACCGGTATATTTTTACCAAAAACCGGTTTTAATACCCAAATACCGGTATTTAACGAAAACTTCGTATGTGAATTGTAAAGACAGGAAAAACGCCGTAAAAAATCAAAATTTATTGCTCGAAGTTTTTTCGCCGACGGTGGATTTTTTGCCGTTTGTGTTAAGTGCGACGCTGTGTTGTGTAGCGGTGTGCGTAATTCGAGACGGTTTGTAGAGGTTTTCGTGATTTCTTCAAAATAAGCAATCCCGAACATAAAGATTAATGTTCCTTTTTGCGTCCCGCTCGGTTTACTACACACGCGTGTGACATGTATACACTAGCCTCTAAAACAGCGAAATTGAGTTCAAGTTATTTAGAAAATGCTTGATCATTCACGACAATTGTGCGGGGATTTACGACACAAAGTTGAAAGTTGTTTCTTTGTTTGCCCACTAGGCGAGTGTAGTGTCGGTAGGAAAGAAGAAATAAGAGCGTTAAGACATAAATAAACGTGCGCGATATGAGATGTGATGTGTTGCGGTAAAAGAATTCTCGGCGCGGCGTGTGCGTAATTCCCACGAGTGCAAGATGTTAATGTTGGCTTAGTGTGAACACTTCGCGTGGTATCGGAGTGATTTATTGGGGTTGAAGTAGGCGCGCAGAGGACGATGTGTGCCCACCCACACATCGGCGTGTTGTACCTCACCTTCGGGACTAGATTACTTGTATTAGGTTACACGTCGTTTGGGGAATAAAAATTGTGCAAACTTTTCCGGCAGTCATTCAACTTTTCCCCTATAGCTTCATCTTATTCCTCTTTTTTTCTTTTATTTTATTTTACTTACACTACAATAAAACTATAAATTATGATTAACTAGCTTTAACTCGCGGCTTCGCTCGCGAATATCTAAAATAATGAAGTTGCTTCCGTACGCGTTTGTAGTCACAGAAGAAGTAACATTGAAGTAGAATGGCGGGAAGTTTAAAATGGCTGAAAGTATAGTCTATGGAAGTATAGTGTACAGTCTCCATAGTGTAGTCAATTGGATTTGATGTTGACGTAGCTGTCGGTAATACAGTGTGATAATACAGTGTGATGGTACTATAGTACTTAGGTTTGAGCTTCATTGCTAGAATGCTAGATGGCGTTAAAGTAGTCAAATAGCCAGATGCAGAGGTATTATTGGCTAAACAATTTCTTTATTTTATTTAAAAAATAATTTTTTTTATTAAATAAAAAGTAGCCTATAACCATTCGGGCACCACTAAGAATATGTGTACAAATTTTCATGATGATCGGTTAAGTAGTTATTGTGTGAAAGTGTAACAAACATCAGGACTTTCGCATTTATAATATTAGTAGGGATTCATTCGTATAATTTCAGTCGGTACATGTGTAGCATGATGATAATAATCATCCGGAGCTGGTGTATTATGTCGTCATATAGAATTTGTGAATTAAGGCGAAAAGTAAACACGGGCGTAAAATAATTTGCCAGGCGCGAAACAATAGCCGGGCGCAGGAATTAAAACGCGCCGTTTGAAAATCACGAGCGCAGGAAGTGTGGAGAGTTGGGAGAAGAAAGGAAGTGAAGCGCCAAAAACGGAGCGGTAGAGTGGCCAGGATAGGACCGAGGGTGTATTCATTGTCTGCATGCGGCTATTGTTCGCCCTCGACTGAATTACCAAATGAATATAGTCCATAATCCAATTGAACCTCTGTTCAACTGATACAGATGGTTACTAGCAGTTGGTGTATTGAAGGATTTGAATGAAACTGTTGTAGTTTTTTTTCTAAAATGAGAAAAATTAAGGTTTTGGGGGTTTGGGGAAGTAGGGAAGAAGATAAAATGGAAAATGGTGAAGATTGGAGAAAGTGGGGAAGAGAAGATTTGGAAAAAGGGTTAAGGAGAAGGAAAAATGAAAGGAAAATAGGGTAAAAAGAAGAGGAGAAGGAAAAAAATAAGTGGGAGTACGGACAAGGCGATAAGGGAGAAGAGGGACTGAGAAAAAGGAATATACAGGGTGTTGCAGAAAATTGGATCAAAGGAAGATACTAAATAGAGGTGATACATAGGAAAGGATGAGGACAAGACGAAGAAAAGACCGGGGAAAGTCGAAAAAAACAAAAGGAACAAAAGAGAAATTGTCCTTGAAAAAGAAGACGATGAGGAGATGAAGAAAACAGAAAAAAGAAGAAAAAACAAGCAAAAAACGTGAAAAACCCAAAGAAACCACCAACAAAAGAAGAAGATAACTAAAAAAAGAAAAAGATTTAAAGCAACAATGAAGAGATATCCCCCTGAATGTAACCTTGTGTCATCCATGACAATTCAATTAGTTTTCGTATCATCTCCATATTCCAGTATAAACTAATATTGATAGACGTGTCTGATGTGGTTGAGAACATCAGCAGTGAGCCCACATCGGTGTACCAAATGGAAATGCACCAACCACAAACTGATTTCCACCTCACGCCAATAATTTATTACGATATCTCTACCCATACACCTACACCTACACTGCAATCTCCCTTCCTCGTACGTGCCGTGCACGATCAGAGAAAGTTGTGTCGAATTAAACTCATCATACGACTCGCTGCGGTATCACGATTATCATCCGCAAACAAATTGTTTCCCCCAGCATGAGGGCCTTGTGCCAGCGCACGTACGTGCGGAACAATATTGTTTGTTTACGACAATGGCGCGGCTGAGTGACTGATAAGCCTCGTCGATAAAGCGTTGTTATGCGCTGGCGGCGCACTCGTACAATGTCTCTATATGCGAACGCAACAAATAACGCCGAGTAAGAAATCGCCGTGTAAGATCAAGTGAGATTTATGTGTGATGTGAACTAACTTGTATGCTGTGGATTATTTGTGGACCGTGGACGTTTCCCACTCGGATGAAACCAAAGTTTTCTTTTGCGGGAACAACCAGTGTGATTCAATTGAGTTGCGAGCGGCTAGACAGAATACGGAATGCGGAAAATACGAATACTCAATCACCCTGCAGTTGGATATTGCATAATTGCATTATGGTGAGTCCGAAATTAAATTATGATTTATACAGGCATTGCAATGTCATGTTGTGGGATTTTTCTAATTTCACAAATCGGTTTAATACCGAAGGAAATACAGTGATTGCTTGGCACTAGACCAATTGCAATAACATGCGCTTTGGTTTGGTTTGGTTTTCGTAACGTAGGCAACTTTACATGCACCAGCACTAACCTAGAATGGCGTCATTATACTTCCGCATGTTTTATTTACTTACATCAACTTCGATGCTTGGTAGATTGAAGACCAATGACGGAGGTGACTCCTTTGGCACGTATCTGTAGAATTCCACACCATGATGATACCATTTGATTGTGTAGAGCGCCACCTGCTCCAGGTCGTAATCGCAGGCGAGCGTCACCGTGTCGCCGACGCGCACTGCTTCCGGTACTTTGATGTGCATGTCTTTCAAACCGGAAACGCCTGCAACCAGAAAGAGTTTAAGCTTTAATTAAAACCCAAGTTACATATGATGTCAAAAAAAGCAATAAAAATAAATTTCAAGGAAGAAAATTAAATCGATAAAATTTCAATATCAATAAAACGCAACAATGGTTAAGTGGACAATCGGAAAAGATTGTAAGATTTGTGGGTTATGTTAGGAGAACTATCATGAGAAATAGGGGAAGTGACGTTAGTTTTGCGTAAAATGCAAAAATTTGTGTTTTTTGCTAAATTTTTTTAGTTTTTTGTAAATAGCAACAAAATGGTGGTATTTTTAATATTTTTTTGAAAGCGGTGTTATAAATTTTGTTAATATGTATCTAAAAAACGTTCATGCGTTGCTCTATCTTATATGGTTTAAAAGTTACAATAGTTTTATGTTGCAGTTTTTGGCAAATTTTCAGTATATGCAATTGCAACATTTCACTATTTTCCTTGACACACCTAAATTATTACTCACATCTAATATTTTCAAAATAAAAAATATTCACATTTAAATTCTCTTTTTAATGATACTTTACTTATTAATTTCTGTTTTTAAATATCCGAGATAAACCGGTATAAAGTTTTGGAATTTTTGCAAATTTTTGTAAAATTTTTTATTTTCTTAGAAAATTTCAATTTTTTGTGAATTACAACAAAATGGTAATAATATTTCTATTTTTTTGAAAGTTGTGTAATAGATTTTGTTAAAATGTATCTAAAAAATGTTTATTCCCTGCTCTATCTCTTATGGTTTAAAAGTTACAGTAGTTTTATGTTGCAGTTTTTGGCAAATTTGTAATGTGCATGTCTTTCAAACCGGAAACGCCTGCAACCAGAAAGAGTTTAAGCTTTAATTAAAACCCAAGTTACATATGATGTCAAAAAAAGCAATAAAAATAAATTTCAAGGAAGAAAATTAAATCGATAAAATTTCAATATCAATAAAACGCAACAATGGTTAAGTGGACAATCGGAAAAGATTGTAAGATTTGTGGGTTATGTTAGGAGAACTATCATGAGAAATAGGGGAAGTGACGTTAGTTTTGCGTAAAATGCAAAAATTTGTGTTTTTTGCTAAATTTTTTTAGTTTTTTGTAAATAGCAACAAAATGGTGGTATTTTTAATATTTTTTTGAAAGCGGTGTTATAAATTTTGTTAATATGTATCTAAAAAACGTTCATGCGTTGCTCTATCTTATATGGTTTAAAAGTTACAATAGTTTTATGTTGCAGTTTTTGGCAAATTTTCAGTATATGCAATTGCAACATTTCACTATTTTCCTTGACACACCTAAATTATTACTCACATCTAATATTTTCAAAATAAAAAATATTCACATTTAAATTCTCTTTTTAATGATACTTTACTTATTAATTTCTGTTTTTAAATATCCGAGATAAACCGGTATAAAGTTTTGGAATTTTTGCAAATTTTTGTAAAATTTTTTATTTTCTTAGAAAATTTCAATTTTTTGTGAATTACAACAAAATGGTAATAATATTTCTATTTTTTTGAAAGTTGTGTAATAGATTTTGTTAAAATGTATCTAAAAACTGTTTATTCCCTGCTCTATCTCTTATGGTTTAAAAGTTACAGTAGTTTTATGTTGCAGTTTTTGGCAAATTTTTGATGTGCATATTTTTCAAACCAAAAACGCCTGCAACCAGAAAGAGTTTAAGCTTTAATTAAAATCCAAGTTACATATGAAGTCAAAAAAAGCAATAAAAATAAATTCCAAGAAGAAAATTAAATCGATAAAATTTCAATATCAATAAAACGCAACAATGGTTAAGTGGGCAATCGAAAAACTTTGTCTTTTCATCTCAGATCATTTGTTCTGTTTGTGCTAAAGCCAGACGAATGGGAGCAACACAAGGAAGCAGATTGGCGACATTCGGTTTAGCGGTTTATGAGTCTGTCTGCAGCACTTCGCGTAATTTGAGCTCCCAACTCTAAAAGTGGGAGCCAAAAATCCATTCCGCATTCTTCAGAAATCACTAGTTTCCGAAATTAATTTCGAAAAGTAAATCCGACCTGGACCTGGCCGGCATGTTAACCAAACTCCCCGAAAGACTATCAAGGGGACAAAATCCTCGGCGAAAAAAAAATTGTGTGATCGTTTGGATATTCGAGAGCACTCGCCGGGAATTTCCCGGACCAATCTCCCCCAGGGACGTATATAAGCATTCAGTGGATAAAAGGGAATTTATAATGTCTTTTCATATAAGTATAAAGGGATTTTATTGCGGGAGAATCGAGCAATTTGAATTCGCAGTCAGTAAGCAAGCACCTATGTCCCATGTCATGATTCGATTCGTAGATTTAATTATAAACATAGCCATTGGCCTCCATATTGCACCAGAGACTGGTGTAGTAGTTGCTTTAAGCGCAGCAAAGTTTCCGAATTGGATTGCAACGTAATTATTATTACTATAACGACTTCCCTTGTGCGATTCAGTTTGCTATTCTAATTGGTCGTTGCTATAGGCCATGGCGGTGGTGAGCGTAAGCGTGGAAAGCGCTGGAATGTCAGGTTAGTGATAGACCATTATGAACAGGTGCGCGTCTGTTTCAGGCATTCCTCTAACTCGCACACGCTCACTGAACTAAATCGTATGCGATTGTTATTATGCTAATGGTAATGCGGAATCGAGTTTAACTTGATTGCAATTGAAATTCTAGGTTATGTAATTGTATTTTCTATTATAAAAAACATTGTTTGTAAGATTTGTAGGTTATGGTAGTGGAACTATCATGGGGATAGCGGAAGTTACGTCAGTTTGGTGTAAAAAAAATTTGTGTTTTTTTGCTAAAAATTTTTTAGTTTTTTGTTAATTGCAACAAAATGATGATATTATTCATATTTTTTGAAAGTTGTGTTATAGATTTTGTTAATATGTATCTAAAAAATGTTTTTTCGCTGCTCTATTTCTTATGGTTTAAAAGTTACAGTAGTTTTATGTTGCAGTTTTTGACGAAATTTCAGTATATGCAGTTGTATCATTTTACTTTTTATTGCACCACACCTAAAATATTACTCTAAACTAATATTTTCAAAAAACAGCATATTTACAATTAAATTCTCTTTCTAATAATACTTTATTCAATAATTTATGACTTTAAACAACTGAGTAAAACCAGTTTAAAGTTATCCGATTTTTTACAATTTTTTACAAATTGTAATATATGCAATTGCAAAATTTTACTATTTTTCTGCCACACCTAAACTATTACTCACATCTGATATTTTCAAAATACAAAATATTTACTATTAAATTCTCTTTCTAATGATACTTAACCTATAAATTTTGGATTTTAAACAACCGAGTTATAGCGGTTTAAACTTTTTCAAATTTTTGTAAAATTTTTCTTTTTCATCAAAATTTCCATTTTTTGTATTTAATTAACATCTATGTCAAAATCAAAAGGTGGCACTAACCTAATACTCAATACCCTAACACTCATTGAACGTCAGAATCGTTTGACCTTATTTACCCAACAATGTTGACACAAGAACAGCGCCCGGACGCTCTCAATTCCAATTTGTCTCCGTCGCAGGAATTAGGTTGGTAGACCTTCGCGCCGCAGGCGACGTCTGCCCGACCCGGACTTATTGATGTTCGTGTGTCTATATATTTCAACATTTCAACTTCTCACATGCATGCACACATTCCCCATCCACAATAATGAACTCGAAAAAAAATCTCGTAATAAACTTGATTTCAACAACTTCTAGTCGCGTAATACAATATTGCAAGCTGTTAAAAGCTCATCCAGTTGTAAGTGCTTGAACCCTCCAATAAAGTATCCAAGTATCTGTTAATTTGAAGCGTTTGCACGGCCGTTTAGATAGAAAACACGTAAACTGGACGCTACACGAAATAATAAAGGGTTTTGTCCATTTGCGGACCCTCTTTGGTAACTAATTCCCCTCGCAATTGCTTCCGCTATATGGACCTTTCATTAACTCACATATTGTTGCTCGGATCGTAAAACTTAACTTGCGTTCATATTGTTAATAACCTCGGGATACAGATGACAACTGACACCTACAAGTGCCCCTAATTGAAATAAAGTCGCAACTCAACGAAATTTGTTATTGCGTGCGCCCGGAAAAAAGTGTGCCGCTTGAATGGACCAGCTCCGCACTCTGCCTTGGCTTCCGGCCAACACCGAACTTAATTTATTAAAGTGAACACAAGAAGTGTTCTAATATACCGGTGGAATTAATCAAAGAATTGATTCGCCATTTATAAATCGCTGCCGCAGCCGCAGCCTTCTAATAGATCATCATGGCGCTTCTATTCGGGAATCCTTCGATTGGGAAGTTGATTAAAATAACCACAGTTAGAAACTTTCGATTCGCAGAAAGCAAAACCAATATCTATTAGAGCTACAGATTGGGAATGAATATGCAAGTCAAGAAAATTGCTTTTTTCGTCTTTTTTTTTCGTCTTTTTGCGTGTGCTTTGTGTTTGGGTTATTCTCGTGCACAGCGCATGTGCATCTGATGGAGAATTTAATTTTCCATACCAGGCTGGTCTTCACATATTTCTCTGGGGTCAGCAGGAAAAAATAACCACATATGCAAGGCGAAATTAATACGCGTACGTTGAGAGGAATTATTAAACCGCTTTCCGGTTTTGAGAGCTGGAAAACCAGAGGTGGAAGAAGCTATTAATGCAGCATGTTCTTTTGATATTTATTTATCTCGTGATTTTTCGGTTTGTTTTCCGCGTGGATGATTTACCACGCTCACAATTAAATAAACTTTACGAGCGGGGATATTTTTATTTATATCGTCATGTTTCATAATTCTATTGTAATCAACACTTTAAATTTTGTTATAAATAATACTACGTAATATTAATTTTTGAAAAATAAGTAATGGAGAAGTATAAACATCAGATTTACACTAGTTTTTGTAAAATGTTAATTTTTGTTTTTATTTTAGTAGAAAAAAAAAGTTTAAAAATGGAGAAAATGTAAATTT